CCGTGGCTGCGCCGAGGCAGGGGGACGTGGCTTCACAATGCCAGACATCCCAGGTGTCTCTGCCTGGCCCTCCCTGCCATTAAAGGCAGCTGGCAGGGATCTCGTTGGGGACAAAGTCATTTCCTTTTGAAGTCCCGTAGTGGGAGAGGAAGCCCCGCGTTTATGCAGCTGCTGATTAGAGTCAGCTTGCTGTGGTTGTAGGGCTGTGTCAAAGAGGAGCATACGAAGGTGCCTCTCCCTATCTTTCCTGGCTCTGGAAGTGAGCCTTGAACAATGGTTACACTTTTGGGGGATGTGACTCCCCCAGGCAATGGATACATTCTGCATGGCGGTCTGAGGCTGGCATTCGTTAAACCTATTATTTAAATCAAGGGTGGGGAACCTAAGGTCCGGAGGTTGGATGCAGCCCCCTGCCTTGTCTTGATCTAACCCCCAAGGCTGAAGGCTCTCCCCTTAGCATTGGGGAGCATGTGCTTGTGTTCCATCTTCCCCATTACCTCCCCATGAGGCTGAAGCACACACAATTTATTAGCCTGGGCTCCCCTAGATCTGGGATGCTAGGGGAATGAAGGGAGTCTTTTTCCTTCTCAGTTTGGGACCTTATCAGTAAGGGGGTGGATTTTTTTTTTTTTTTTTTTTTCCAAACAGTAGGTAGTTGTTGAAGCTGATAGCCTGGTAATGACTCTGCCCAGCTATCTTTGTTCTTTTTTATCTTAACAGTCTCTCTACAGTGAAGCTGACAGGAGAACAGCTGAGAGGCGGGAGGTAAGAGTGGTCTCTGCTTTTACTCCCGATACTTTCTTTGTCCTTCCTCTCTTGAAAATTTTTCTTTGCTTTTTGTTTTTTGGCCTGTATAGACTATGCTTAAAAGCTCCCCTGACTCTTCTCTCTTCTCCCTCCCGCCACAACCATAAATTCAAGGAACTGTTTTTAAAATGGAAGCTAATTCTTGTGTCTTAGTCCCAAGACTGTAGGAGTTTAGGTTTTAAGAAAAACATCAAATATCATAAGATGCAGGATAAAAATCTATTATCATTGGCATTATGAGAAGACTATGGCTAAAAATACGGGGATGGTAGGGAGAACAGACAGTAGTGGTCCCCATCATTTCAGGTATGCTAAAAGCTCAAAAGGAAAGTGATGACATGAGCATCAGAGTTCTTGTTATATCTGTAAGGAAACAATAAGAAAGATACGGAATTATAGATGTGGATAGGAAAAGAGGAATGGATGGAGTTGCTGATGATTAGAAATGGGCATGTTGGGGTTTGGCTGGACTACTGCTGTTATGTTTAGAGGGTATCCACATACATTTTGTGTTTCAGATAAGAAATCTAAGAACCCAGGAATGGTGACAAATAATCCTCGAAGCATTCATGCAGAAATAGCTCTCAGGCAAGTAAAAGGAGCAACAGCTAATCTTCTAAACCAGTTGACACAACACGGCACTCTCCGAACTGCACATTTCCACCAGGGCAGCAGAGAAAATGGCGGCAGGTGAGGCTCTTACCAGCAATAAACATTGATTTTCCTATTTTTACTAGCATACCGCCTCCCTTCCTCTTTAAGCACTCTGTATCTGAGAAACTCTGACCTTTTCTTCTTTCCAGGGCTGACAAAAAAGTGTGCCATTCATGGGAGGGCATGGGGGTCAGTAGCCCCCCTAAAGGTAGAACCCCTGAATTTAATACTTGAGGTCTGCTCAAAGCCCATGCCCTAGCCCCAGAAGCAGTTCTTAACTGCAGTGCTTTGCCTTTGGGGCAGGGGTTTGTTTATAAACAGAGGGTGGCAGGGTGATTAAGATAACAAAGGGTCTGTCATTCAAGTAACTGAAGGATCATTAGATCATGAAAATATTGCCAGGTACTCCACTTAAAAGAGAAGAAAGAGTAGGAATAAATAGTGGTTTGCTGGCCGGATCCGCACTTGGACCCGTGTTGTTAAACTTCTCATAAATATTCTTGAAATTATTCAGAATAGTTAAGTTCAAAGCTGACTGCAAAGTCTTATAAAGGGCTCTTACCAAACTGGGTGATTAGGCAACACAAGGGCAGATGGAATTGAGTGCTGATAAATGCAAAATAATGTTCATGGAAAAATGTAAACCCAACTATACATACCAAAATGATGGCCTCTACAATAGCTGTTACCAGTCAACAAAGAGATCTTAGAATCATTGTGGACAGTTCCCCGAAACATCTGGTCAGTGTGCAGTGGCAGTCTAGAAAGCTAACAGAATATTGGGAACCATTAGGAAAGAAATAGATAATAAGACAGAAAATATCATATTGCCTGTATATAAAATCACTAGCAGACTTACCCAGCATTGCCCAGGTCTTTCAGGGCAGCGGGCTGGCAGTGTGGGGGTGCAGGACTTAGGGCAGGGCCTTGGGGATGTGTGGGGGGGGGGAGTGAAGGAGACGGGTGAGAAGGTGCAAGAGTGAGGGTTAGAGGGTAAGAAGGGGCTCAGGATGGGAGGTCCTATCTGGCATAGTCCTTTTGTGTCCCCCGTACCTCCCCTGGCTGCCAGGGGTATTTTTGTCACCCTCCCACCCAGTCACCAAGGGCATTTTTTTCTCTCTTCCCTCCCACCCAGGTGCTGCAGCCAAGGGCTGGGAGGGAAAGAAAAGTTTTGGGGTGGGGAGCTTCTTAGTGTGCTGGCATGCAAGATTGTGGACCCCAGTGTTGCTGATCACTCCCTTGGTGATACAGCTGCCCCCCAGACCAGAGATGGTTCCCAGTCACAGCCCCCAGCTGCCGACTCTGGTAGCTGGGGAGGCGGAGGGACTCCCTCCAGCCCCTGCCAGGCTGTCTGCTGAGTCGCTGACCCCACTGCTGCTTCCCCAGCCGGACTGCCTGCTGGGCCCCAGCAACCCACGTTGCCATAGGCTCCAGCCCCATGCTACCACTGGCTGCTGGGAGCTGGTTTTGGCCCTGGTCGGGTTGCCAGGGCCTCAGGCTCCAGTCCCAGCCCCATGGCAGCCTGCGGGCTCTAGCCCGGCTTCTGCTGACTGTCTGGGATCCTGGCCCCACGCTGCCATGGGGTACTGGGGCTTTCTCCAGTCCCAGACCTGCTCCCTCTGCCATGGGCTGCCAAGAGTGTGGGCTCCTGCCCCACAGCAACCCACAGGCTCTGGCCTCACTTCTGCAAGCTGTCTGGGCCTCCAGCCCCACACTTCTGGGGGCTGCCTTCAGCCCGGCATTGGTCCCGCTTCCATGGGCTGCCTGGGGTTCTGGCCGCAGCCCTGCATTGCTGGGGGCTGCCCCATCCTGGTCCCAGAGCCAGAGGCTTCTGCCCTGTCCTGCTGCTTCAACCCAGCCCCTCCTGGATTGCCCTCCTGCCACTAGATTATTGGGGTTCTCTGATCAAGGAACATCCGTAGCCCTGCCAGACCGCAGATGTTGCCGGACAAGAGAATTCCAGTTTGGGGGGGGTGCAACCTGTAGTAAGACCAGATGAAAGGGTTAGAGCTAGAATGAGAACTCATTTGGCATGTGTCTTGCATAACGTACTGAACAGGAGCAAGCAATTGTCCCACAGATCCAACCTGACTCTTTGCTATTGTTTACTCAAAGCATCCTGTTTCATTTTTTGTTTTCTCCACAGTTCATAATATTTTGTTTACTGTTTTAAAAATTAAATATATCTAAGTAGCAACAATCAAGAGTGAACTTGTTATTGTGACCAGGAGTATTCAGGGTTAGAAACAGTCATCTCAGAACAAAGGCCCGATCCCACTAACGCTTACTACCAAGCCTAGTACTTTTTATCTTGAGACTACAAGCTTTTGAGACTTAATTAATAATAATAATATGCAATGGTTTTTTATTCTTATTACTGTCATATCTAGGAAGCCTAGTCACAGAGCAGGATCACATTATGCTAGGTATTGTACTTTGCAATAAGAACTACGCTAAATAGCAGGTGTTTGCATGATCAGGACCCAAGAGGATATTTTTCATGGGACAAATTTTGCACATTATTATACCTAAAGAACAGACAATTCTAGGCAACTTAAATACATTTTCTTTTATCATTTTATTTGCACTAAAGTGTGCAATCAGTTGATTTCACAAAGAAAATTTCAAAATGTGCTCTATAGCAAGGATTCTGCAGGTCACAGTTAAGATTTAATTCCATGCTTTTTTTACTAGAGAAATTTGCATGAAGAAGGAGGATCACACTGTGACCCTCCTGCTCGAAGCACAATGGCAATCAAAAGAGCAAATCAAATGTTAGGCTATAAAGGGAATGGATAGAAAATACTGAAAATATTAATTTGCTTTTCAGTAAGTTGGTGGTGCACGCTTCACCTTGAATAATGTGTTCAAATCTGGCTATCTGGTGAAAAAACACACCAGAAAAAGGAGTCCAGTGATATTTATGAAAATGTTGAGTGTGTTCAAATCTGGCTAAATGGTGAAAAAACACACCAAAAAAGGAGTCCAGTGATATTTATGAAAATGTTGAGGGGTGAGTGGGGGAAGATAAACTCCCAAGTTCTAGAGGTTGGTGCTGAGGTGTTAGAGCTGCATAAAGCCCTCCCCAAAGGGCCCTGGGCTCCTCTGTTCTGATAAATGTCTCTAATACCAAAGGGTCCAATGCAAGCAGTAGTATTGACTGTTGCCATGGCAACTCTTTTGAAGCAATTTAGCTTAGAGAAGACGCATGGAGAACAGGATACCAGAGACCATTTGTAAGCAACTTCCTCCTCAGTGCCAATACAGTGAGAGGTGCCTGAAAAGCAAGCATGATATAGTTGCTTCAATTTAAATAATAAAAAGAAGCCCCTGCAAAGCCCTGCAGAGCTAATACATAATTAATAATACAATAAAACCTCAGTAACATTACAATGATTCAGAAAGGAATCCTGCCAACTAAAGAAAAGAGCTCCTTTACTTCCCTTCAGCACAGGGGAAGCAAACCCACCTTCTCCAAGAACATAGTTGAAGAGCTGTCCTTTGCAGCCTGCCCAAAGATACAGACAGATCAAAAGGTGCATCCAGGGTGAACTGGTGTGCCAGACTGGCCATAGAAAAGAGCTGGTACATCAGCCTAGATCCAGGGACCAGTGCCTTTGAAGTGCCAGAGATATCTGATTCCTTGCCACCTACCTCTTCCAGCAGTTTATCTCAGTTCTGCCCTGCGTTAGGGACTGCTGTGGGATTTTCACCTAGCCACAGGTATCAGGATGATAAGAGTGATACTGAAAGTGATACTGCTTGAGTCAGTGGCCCAGCACCATTCACAGTGCTGTTCAGGGTGCATGCAGCAACTTTATTGCTCACAGTAGCTGGTACAATTCCATCCCATGAGGACTTTCTGGAATGTCTGCCCAATTTCAGTCTGCATATGACTTCAATTAATTTTACATTTATGAAAACTCTGCATATGACTTCAAATTTTTCATAAATGTAAAATTAATTGAAGTTTTTTCAAAGAAAAGACAAGAGTCTTGTTGCAGGATGCAACAGTTTTCAAAGGACACAACTTTTAATTAATTTTTTAAACTAATGAATAAGACTTATTTGTAAATTCTCAAAAATTAATTCTGTAGTCGGAGAGCAAGTGCTGTAAATTTGGAGATGTGCCCTATTTTTCCTACAAAACAAAAAGATTGAATCCCTGATTTAAGTGCAAAATAGAACTTAAACCTCAACTCTGAAATCCCAAACAGCACCTTCAGAATATAATGTATTTCTTGTCTTGGTTCCCTAGAGTGGCTGAATATTAAAACATCTCATTTGTATATTGTAGTCTAAAAGAAACTTCATGCCAGTGAGATGCTTCCAAGTTAATAAGAATGGCATTGGGAGGAGTGCGGGGGGTGGGAAATCAGTACATTTCCATTTAGATGCCTAAAGAGGATTGTAAACACCTAGCAGTGCACAGCCAGGTTTTAAAATACTGGTTTTACTTCTTTCTAAGTTAAGCTAATAGTTGGAGACAATTCAAGGGCACTAGATCCCTTTAACAGGAATGAAAAGTCCTAGCATTTGGTAGTGGAGGGGCGCATAAGCAAATCCCACATTCTAAAGCTGGGAGGGATTCTTGCAATTCACATGCTAACCTCAGAGAGCCAGGAATGACACTGTTACCATGTGTACATTTAGATTACACACTAACAGCTGGTCAAAAGCTTTGTCAGGGTATGTTTACACTGCAATTAGAAACCCATGGCTCACTCGCAGCTCAGGTAAAGGGGCAATTAATTTGCCTTCAGGCACCTGGGCTCAGGGATCCTCAAAGCTCCAGCCCTCTGTAGTACAGATATACCTTCAGTCTCCAAAGACATCACCAAGATGGAACTGGCTGAAAACCCATCAGAGTGGAACATATAATCAGATGTTGAATGTTGTCATTTATAAGCCAGTAATGGCACATTTCATTTGCTTAACATCTGTGAACCAGCCTGGTCATACATACATAGGGTAACATTTTCAGAAGCACCTATGTCATGGGGTCTGCAATTCACTGCTTGGCTCAGCTGGGGAAT